CCGTGGCTTGATTTACCTGGCCTGCTTCTCAGCGTGGTTCCCGTGCGCTGCCGGCCCCGCGCACCACGGCCCTGCCCGGGGTTAGCGCCACTGCCAGCAGCCTCTGGGACCTCTCTGTGTGCCTGGCAATCCCTTTTTCTTTCCCTGCTGAGATCGTCCCTGTCTGTGGTTGTTTTGGGGACAGGGGAGCATTTGCTTTGCTGTTTCTGCCAGACAGGCTGGAATGAGGCTATTTTAGAAACGTGGTGCTTATTTTACGAGCAGGAAAGATGGGGGGGTTGAATAGAAGTGAGTATTTTCTAGCAGCGAAAGAGACAGGAAAAGTGTAGGGTGGTTATTGAAACCTTCGCTGGAGGAGATCCCAGCCCCAGGGGTTTTGAAAGAAGCAGCACCAGAGCCCCTGCTCAGAACACCCCTCCGTCCCCTCCCGCTGTGTTTGGAAGCTGCCAGCATCCAACCTCTGCACTCCAGACCTACTTGCTTGGTCTCATCTTGACACCTTCAAGCCCAGAGCACTCTCAATTTTCCCTAGGCAATGCTGGCCACTGCATCTCTTCTCCCCTAGGGCTCCCAGGCAACAGCCGCCAGTGCAGGGATGTGGCCCTCCAGGGAGTGGGATGTGTCCTGGGAAGACATGTCAGCGGGAAGATGCTGGGAGCAGAGCTGGGCATGTGCTGGGGCCTTGCTGGAAGGAGGCAGGCTGAGCAGAGAGCAAGGCAAGAGCTGGATAGGCAGTTGTGAGGGCAGGAGCTGCTGGGCTCGTCCTGGTGCCTGTGGAACGGGCTCTGCAGCTTTGTCACCCCAGGGCACTCTCTGCCCTGTCTGCTCCCTCCACTGGGGCTTTCCTGGGGCTACTCTGTCCTCCTTGCTCCAGCTGCATCCCTGGCTCTTTTCCCAATGTTTCCCTGGCAGCAAACCTTTCCTCATCTGCCCCGATGATAATCTCCGGGCTCCATCTGCCCCCGTTTTCATGATCTGCCTAATTCTCAGAGCTGGGCAGTGCATGGCTCATAGTGTGCCATCAGTGATACTGGGAAGTGCCCAGAATCTCTAGAAACTGGGGCCCTGCCTCCTCCTGTCTGGTTGGCAGCTGCTGCTGCTTCCTTGCTACATGAGTGGTTCCAGTGGCAGAGGATTTCCCGACACATTTCCCGGCTTTGTAGTTGGTGAGCAGGTACCAGCTCACCAGCTCCTTTCCGGCCCTCATTTCATGGTCTTCCTCACTCCTTGTCCTTGTCCATGATGGCTCATCCTTACTTTCATTATACCAGACCTCTGCCGTCATTATATGAGTAGGCAGCTGTTTTCTGCACATAGACGAGCCCCGACTCCTGCCTTGGTGGCCTTGTCTTACTGGGTTGTTCCACAGCCTGCTCCTTCTGGGGCAAATCAGGGTGTTTTCTGCCCTGGGAAAGATGCTGGGCCCAGAGGATGGCTGGGGGCTCTGCCCAACCCACTCAACCGGACACAGCTTAAGAGTTTGCCAAGGTTTTGTGGAGCTCGGATCACAACGTGCTGGAGCCTATTTGAAGGCCAGCCTTGGCTCTGGACTCTCACCCCAGCTCCCAGGAGCAGGGAAGATGAAAATCCTACTGGGTCCTACAGCTTGAGATGAGTAAAATCCAGAGAAAGCCGGAAAACCAAAGGCTAGTTGCTGTCTCCTCTGAAGTAAGCACTGGGGGGAGTCTGCTCCTTGTCACAGGACATTTGCTAAAGTTCGTTTGAGCACAAAAGCTGTGCAGTGCAAGTGTGGAGATTAATGGCAGAGACTCAAAGCAAGGCTGTTAGTCACCTGGCTTTCACTGCTCAAGAATTCCCTAAAAAATAGACAAATGACAAATAGATGGAGTCTGGGAGTGTGTGGAGGGGGGATGTTGCTAAACACTTGGCCTCATTCAATACCCCTCCTGGGCACCTGCTGTTGGCCACCCTCAGAGATGAGTTACCGGGCCAGACAGGCTTTATGGCTGACTCATTTGGCCATTCAGATGTTATTCGTAAATGTTTTCCTGCCTCCTCAGCCATTTCATTCTCTGTTTCTCATCCCTCCAGCTGGTGTCTGCAGAGGGGTCACACTCAGATGCTGGGTCGGTCTGTGCCGATAACCAAACGGAGCTGCCGCCCTCCATGGAGCGCACAGGAGGCATCGGAGACTCCAGGCCCCCCTCCTTTCAGTAAGTTACCTGAGCACACGGTCTGGTTTCCTGGGGACCTTGGTGGCTTTGTGCTCAGTCAGGATAGGAAGACCAGAGACTTGGGTGTCCCTGTCCAAACTGGCAGGGGTCACAGCCAGCCAGAGGACCTCGTGATAGGAGCAAATTTGATGGGAGCCTGCTTAGACCATTCCCTGTTGGACATGTTTGTCTCTTTTATCTCACAACAGCCCTAACACCGGGGGGAGTCGGGAAAATCTGGACAACGAGACAGAGACAGACTCAGTGGTGTCATCGCAGAGAGAGCGACCTCGTCGGAAGGATGGGCCTGAGCATGGTGAGCGTTGGTGCCCTGGCCAGAGCTCTGCAGCACATGACTGGGGCATGATGGGGAGCAGTAGCCACACACAGGGGACAGCTCCATCTATTCTGCAGAACCTTTTTGGCTCAGAAGGGCTGTTCCATGACCTGAGGCTTTAGGGTCATGGAGATTGGAGCTAGCCCCATATGGCATCAGAGGTTGGTGATGTGGCTGTTAGGGGCTGTTAGGGGCAAAGGGGGGCTGGTCCCATAGAAACCTCAGGAGAGTGAAAGAGACAGCAGTGCCTCAGACCTTCCCAGTGAGAAGTGCAGAGGCTGTAGCCTTCCTATTGTTCCATGCTGCTCTTTGGTCTGCCAGGGACCAGCTAGAACAGCCTTCCTTGACTTCAGCAGCCTTCATTCTGGTTAGCTCATCAGTCTCTTCCTCATCTTCTAGCAGGATCAAAGAGGATCCCACAATAGATGGATCTCGGAGCCAGCTGCATCAGATGGGGCTGTCTGGTGGCCAGGCTCCTTCTAAGAGGGTGGCTGTGGGCCCTGAGGTGAGGGATTCCCTGTGGCCTGTGTTAATCCCACTGAATCTTCTTGCTTCCCAGCACCCAGGGTGAATGGGACAGTGAAGGGAGAGCGACGCCGAGACCTGGGCGGGTACGAGAGCTCCTCCACACTCATGAGCAGTGAGCTGGAGACCACCAGCTTCTTCGACTCGGACGAAGATGACTCCACCAGCAGGTAAGAGTTTAGGGCCTGCAGGAGCACTGGCTTCTCTCTACCTTCCAGCACAAAGAGATACCACCAGAGAGCACAGTGGTTTGGGGTCCTTGTTCAGACCTGCTGTTTTCTTGAATTTCACCCAGCAACCTCCTCTGCTACGATCTCTCCCCTGTCTGTTGCTCTACCTCTCTGCCCCTGGAGTCCTCTATTCCTCATGCCCTTTTCTGCGGCTGTTGTGTTGCCAGAGCTGCCCCACAGCAACAGAAGAGCTAACTCTTACTTCTGCCCGTAGGTTTAGCAGTTCAACAGAGCAAAGTAGCGCCTCCCGCCTGATGAGGAGACACAAACGGCGCAGGCGGAAACAGAAGGCTCCACGGATTGAGCGGGTATGTGAGGGCTGGCTATTCTCAGGAGGAAAATGTAGTTTAGAGTGGGCTTGCTAAGTGAATCTCTCCAGAGCTGATTGACATTCAGCTGTGTTTGCTGTGGGCACGTATTTCCTTTCCATAGATCCTTTGGATAGGTTGACTTACAAATGTTGAGACCTTACAAAATTTTATAACCTTTCCTAAGCTAACTTAGCCTTAAGAACTGGGACCATGGACCTTGTCCTGGCTGTGGAGAGGTCATAAGAGCTGTGGCGGATGCAGACAGCTCTGTAAAGCTCCCACCCTTAGTCTGGAGCTGGGGGTGGTGGCTGTGGTGCGTTAGGGGTGGTAGGAAGCACATGTGAAGGGAGCTGAGGCTGGAAATGCTGCCACGGCACAGACAGACATCTCATGCTTTGTTTGTGTTTGTTACAGTCATCATCCTTCAGCAGCATCACAGACTCCACCATGTCCCTGAACATCATCACGGTCACACTCAACATGGGTGAGTTGAGGCATGACCAGAGCCTTGTGGAGTGGGATGGGGCATTGGACCAGGGAGTTGGGGAAGAAGCAAGGAGAAAGCAAGAATGCACAGGGAGGGGTGGGACGGATTCCCTGGGAAACTAGCTTGTCCTGAAACACGGTGCTCTCAAGTTTTGTCACGTCCTGGGAGGTCTCTCCAGGCGATAAGTGTGCAAGTGACCATGAGTAGCACAAGATTTGTCTAAGGTTATGGCTCTTTGCACTTCTCGCTTTATGATAATTTATTTCTTTTTCCTTCCATTCCTACAGAGAAATATAACTTTCTGGGCATTTCCATTGTGGGACAGAGCAACGAGCGTGGAGATGGAGGCATTTACATTGGCTCTATCATGAAGGGTGGTGCTGTGGCAGCTGATGGCAGGATTGAGCCGGGCGACATGCTCTTGCAGGTACTTCACACCCACGTA